AATCGAAGGTTGGGGACGGCGTGACACAAGGCAGACCTAGCGTAAGTTCACACCAGTAAAATGATAAAACACACAGTAGACCTAACTGCGAATGGGTACCGAAATTTTAGTTGGAGTAGTGAAGGTGGTCGGGTGCAGTGCCGGCCACATTGTATCTGTTTACCGAAGTGTGTTGTACCCGAACTGCTCCTGTGGTACCTTCTTTTCACCATTCAAATTATTATTTTTTTCTATAGTACTGAAAATTATCACCTCAATGGATGGAATATTGTTTAATGACATTACCTCCATCAGTGTTTACATTCCGTGCAGAGAAATAGCTCTCTTGGTGAGTACTTACACTTGAACAACTTTGGAGAATTGAGTCATTTTACATGAAATTTTTGTATCGACCAAGAGTAAAACTTCTCTCAATTTCCAATACTGGAGACCGAGCAAGATTGATGACACCTTTGTGCACGTGTGTTGATGATAGTGATGCTTCCAGCGTTTACCAGTCTTTAACAACTCTACCCTAACTGTGAGACACGTTGTACTCATCACCTACTTTATCATCAAACTGTCACCGGTACACACAGTTAAAAGGACAAATATCGGCGTTAAGACCAAGTGCCGATAGTATATTTACATTCAATCCCATGGCTCTATTTTTACAGTTAGGGATAAAATATTTATTTCCTATTTTTCGATCATTTGATATATTGATAACTTTACTATTGGTGTAACTGGTACTTTTTTTTAACCCTTTTCTAACGTGGATGATATAATGTGAGGAGACTTTCAGAGATGTTATTTTACTTTAATTTATAATTCTATATCTGATCAAATTATTGTGTGCGGCTGTTTGTTTATCTTTGCCGTTCCTGTTTATTGAAACAAATCGTCATTAGCTTCATATATTCGTAAATGTTTCTAGAGAACCGTGAACTAAAGACAACGATCTCGATATACTGCAAATATACCTTAAATACGGACACTGTTCTACACCAGCTTGGACCCATAATTGATAAGACTAAGCACTGGAAAGATTATAAAATAATCCTAAAGAAAATAAAAAAAACACACACACATAATCTGTGTGTGTGTGTGTGTGTGTGTGTGTGTGTGTGTGTGTGTGTGTGTATGTGTGTGTGTGTGTGTGTGTGTGTGAAGCATTACCCTTACTGAACAAACTCGTGCCAATTGACAACAGTACGCCTTTGTAACAAATGAAAGCAACAAAACAAATAACGCGTCTTTATATTTTTAGTCGGGTTAAAAATTCAGTTTCGTGTAGTAACTGACAAAACAAATAACAATAATAAATCACAGACATGACTAACTCACGCTCGTCCTGGATTAGCCAAACTAAACCTGACATCGACAGAAAATATTCCCTTTCCAAATTGTGATAAAAATGTGTTTCGTAAAAAGTGGAGAGCAACAAAGAATATATCATTTTTACAAGGAATTTAAGGCAAGACGGACTACCTGAAGAACTGAGGTGCGGATAATACAAGATCTACAGTAAGTCTAATATAAAGCTTCATATTTGCAAGAGACACTAATACACAAGTGACACCTCCTACTACAACATAAGAACAAACACAAACTGCCAAAAATAAGGAGTCAATTTGGTTTGTTTTACTGATTGTGTTGAGTGATTTTTAAGGACTCTTGAACACCCAGATGTTTAAAGAAAATTTCGGTACCAGACTAAGAAAATAAAAAGTAAATCCTGGAGATATGGAACGAAAAAGATCCCAACACCGAAGAAAGGTATTTTAAAGTTGAGGTGAGTAAGATACTTCACGTAAATTACTCAAGAACAATAAGGCTGTTCCACACACTTTACAGACTAGCACGACACCACAGCTGTCCCTCATGTTTCAGAATACGAATTAACCAGATGAACCCTCACAAGATGGACCAGGTTGTACAGGGTTGGAAGATAAAGGGAAGCATTCCTCCACTTGCAGCTGGGACACTAGTCAACACTCCTCCCTGTCTTGTAAATTATGGACCCTCGTTGAAGACCAAATCGTCACTCCATCCAACAAATATAGTGTAGAACAAACGGCCTCTGATGCACAACGTAAAGGTAAAATTGAATACAAGTACCCATTTACAGCTGGGTAGACTGAGAGTGCTCCGGAATTGAATTAACGACTCTTAGGAGAAAAGGCATATAATTCTGGATGGCAGGATAAAAGTATAAATAATTAATAGGTAATATTGAAAGTATGAGGGACAAAGCAAGGCAGAGACGGGTTGATGAATTAAATTAAAAAATGGGACCCAGAGAGAGAAAATTTGGGAGGATTAGTAAAGTCAAACCAAAACGTATGGAGTGGAGAGCCATGGTCGCCAACACCCTCACACACGGGGATAACACCTTGAATGATTGAGTTATAAACACCAAATAAGAAACCAGTGAGCCAGGCTGTGTGTCCATCACGGTGGATGAAGAACACAACAATACAACCAACCCAACTTCTCAGCCTCCCTCCCGCTCCTTCCACAACCCAGGAGCTGACCCCACACATTCCCATCTACTTTTAAACTACCAGACACCCTAAGCCAACTACTGTTCTTTTGTACGCCGGACGCTCCTCAGGGTTATGGAAGACGTAATTCACATAGAGGATTATTCAAGGGCATGGCGCCATTCACTCCGCAAAGGACGTGAATCAATGTAGGGCAGGTGTTGCTGACTCTTTAAGACGACGCCTCTCGAGACACACTCACGTAGGTCCAAGAGCATCACAATAACTGGCTCGATATATGGGAGACAAGATCCAGATACTTAGCCATGTTCGTATATTTGAGTAATACAATGGACATGGCTCATAAGGAGGACTCTTTAAAGTCAGCTAGGTGTATGGAAGAGCGTGGGCTTTGGCGGAGACGGTAGCCAGCAGTCTGAAAATTGTACGATGGATGAAGACAGTCAGTGGCTGGTATGGTGCAGACGTTGGCGGGGTCCTCAGTCTGGCACAAGACTTGATGCACAGGCAGGCTAACAGGTTCCCGACGCTGGCTGGGTACACAGTCTAGAGACTCTAGAGAGTCTAGAGCACGGCTTAGTGCAGACAGTGGCTGGTAGACGCCAGACGTGGGCAGGGGCGTGGAGACTGTTGCTATTAAGGTCTAGACGGGCGGGGTCATTTAATGTACGACATGATGGAGACAGGGAGTAGTTGGGCCCGGGAGTTGGAGAAGTAAATGATCTGGCGAGAAAAACCTGTTGGAGATACCGAAAGGTCCGAGTGTTGGCGACGTTATTGTCTACCGTAAGTCTGAGAGCAAACTGTGACATTTAAAGTCCAGGAGTTGAAAACATAGTTTCCCGTAAGTCTGGGTTGAGAACAACGTCGAGTATTCTGGCGTGGCAGATTATTATTATCATCAACATAATGAAACATTTTAGGAATGTAAAGCTACAATACTAACTGACATAACAGTTTGCAGTCAAATATAAACACAAGACTTTGTTTCTGTTCACTCGTGGCGAGAATTATACAAGTACATAACTCATACTGTACAATTCTTGTGTCATAATATGTGTACAGAAACACAGCCTGGAAATTACAGGCTGGCATCATGCCTCATCCTGAAATGTGAAATTTTATGAATAGCAGCATATATATATTAAACGTCGCTCAAACAAAACTTAACCACGTCTTGATATTTTACCTAAGTTAGGTTCGGTTTTAGGTCAGGTGGGGGTAGAAAGGGCTCTTATATATCATGTGCAGCAGCAGACAGTTGTGGTCAACGCCAGGTGGTGGCCCGCCTTCCCTGCATGCCAAGTGACCTACTGACCGCCGCCTCCCACCGGCAAACACTGGCCAGGTAGGCCTATGTTTGCCAGGAGGAAACAGAGGGGTGTGTGCCTGGCGGAGCAAGGATGAAGGAAAAGAAGGGTCAGACGTGTGGTGGAGGGAAGAAGAGGGGTATTCTGGTCAAGCGTTTTGTTGAGTGGGGGGAGGCAAGTGTCAGTCGTTGTGGCAGAGGAAGGTGTGGAGGCGTGGGTCAGCCGTGTCGTGGAGGAAGGAGGAGGCGCGGGTCAGCCGTGTGGTGGAGGAGGTAGAAGGCGCGGGTTAGGCGTGTGGCAGAATGAGAAGGAAGAGGAGGCAGGAGTGAGGTGAGTAGAGAGAAGGAGGTGAAGGTCAGCCTTAAGACCGAGGAAGAGAGGAAGTTTGAGAACCGTGAAGAGGAGGGAGGCAGGGAGTCAAGGAGATGTATGGTGGAGGAAGAGAAGAAGAGAGGGAGTCAGGGAGGCGTTTGGTGGGAGAGAGGAAAGGAAGGAGGGACAGGGTAAGAGAGGGAGACGTGTGGTAGAGGAAATGGGGGAGGGAAGCATGTGGTGGAAGGAAAAAAAAGAGGGATGCGTGTAAGGGAGGGAAGGAGGCATGTGGCGTAGGAAGGGCGGGTGTTAGTGAGGCGTGCAGTGGAGGGATGGAGGGAGAGAACAAGTTTGGGAGGAGTACAGTAATAGGTGGGTTTTAAGGCATGTGGTGGAAAGAAGGTCAGGTGTGTGGTGGAGAGAAGGTCAGGTGTGTGGTGGAGGGAAGTGTGAGCGAGGCGTGTGATGGAGGAAAGGAGGATTGGAGTCAGACATAGTGCAGAAGGCGGGAAAGAAGCACACGGGTCAGATGTAAGGTGACGGGAGAGAATGGAGGAGAAAGAAAGAATGAGGAGGGGAATCACGAGTCAGGCACGTAGTGGAGGGATGGAAGAAGGCGCGGGTGAGGCGTGTGGTAGAGGGAGGATAGGGAAGGATGGAGGCTAAAGTCAGATGTGTGGTGGAAAGAGGGAGGAAGGAGCCGGCCAGGCGTGTGGCAGAGGGAGGGATGGAGGAGGCGTGTGGTGGAGGGGTAGAGGGAGGGAGGGAGGGAGGCGCGGGCACTAGCAGGGGCGCGGGTGCTGGTGGACCTCAGTGTCTCGCAGGTCGGTGTAGCGGGTGGAGGAGGGCCGGGGAAAGAGGGCAGCGGCATCACTGGCCATCATCTGTCACGCATCGCCACGAACGGCCACGTACAGCCACGTATCTCACGAAACAGCGGGCTGCGTCGCGGCCCAAACGGCTGGGCTGCCTGGGGCGACGCTGACCTTCCTGGTGCAACAATCCCTCACAAACTCTCGTACAGTGAGAAAAGGAAATATGCGGACGAGGGAAGACTAAATGTGACCACTAAGTAGTGTTAATAGGGCAGGAAACGACAAGTTGCAATACTGGGGGCGTCTTAGTGCAGCAGGTTGAGCCACACTCGTCACCGGCTCAATTCTGCAGTCATCACTAGTATAACTTCATTACCTCGTGTCGTAGTCTCACTCACAGTGATCCTGCTTCCTCCATAGCAGGAAATTATCTCCATTCTAACTAATCAATATCACTATTTTGCTCATACACTTACCTAATCTTCCTATCGAGGAAGTTTGTAAGATAATCATAGTTGCAATGCTAAGTGCAATACGGGGAGAGTAAATGACTATTCTCACGTTAAATCTGACGAATCAAGTGTCTGTCACAAATCTAGGTTCATTAAACTGACGATACAATATCAACTATATAAATCCTTTCCATCACTCATACACAAAACTCTTAAGTCTATCCCTCAAGATCTGTGATAGTCCGTGTCCTAGTAAGCAAAGTTCACACACACATATTTAAGTGCGATAATCTTCTCTTACTGTAGATAACTCTCCTTCTCTCTCGGGAGCCACGCCCCCCTCCTCCCCACAGCTACGCCTCTCACAATACTCAAGTACTCTACACAATTCTTACACGTCTGAATCCTAAAACAACTAACCAAACTAAATCTATACTTCCAGCCCACAACCACGCCACCTATGCTCCAGCCACGCCCCCACCCCACGGTCACGCTACCCACACGGCCATGTTTCCACATATTCATCCACCCATCCACACTCCAACACCATCCACATAACTACCAATCACACCACACCATAACAACTCTCAATCTATAACCACGTGATTCACCTAAACACATTACAGCAACCACCAAACAACCACGTAAAACCACTCCATAACATCGCTACCTGTACCAGAATGTCCACAACCACGCCATCTTTACCACATTCCAACCACTCTATCAGTATTATCCACGCCACACCACACAACCACATCACCCTTGACTCTACTCCTACACCTTCAACCTAAACTCCCCCTCCCTGCCTTCCCATAACCATGTCCGCCACCCTAATGTTGCTCCTCCACCCTCATAACCATGCCCCCATCCTACTGCTGCTCCCACCACCCTACTGTTGCTCCCCCACCCCCATAACCAAGTCCCACATCCCACAACAAGGCTCCTGGGGGTACACGTACTAGCCTCTCCCCTAGACCAAGAAACACAAAAACACAAACGTCATCATCTCTTACAATACCTTATCAGTGTTTCCCTCCCCTCCCTTGCCCCCCACTGACAAGATTTATAGCGTCACGTCGTCTGCCCAACACAAATGTTACCCCACACCCCTATATTTCTACGTCGTCTTCCACTCCTGATAAGAGGAAAAAATAATGACATACTCCAATCTGATTCCTTTATCTTGCCAGTCGCCCTCACTCCCTCCCTCCTTCACCCATTGCCATACTCTCCTCGCCTAACATCCTCCATCATGATCCATTCACTCCATAATATAACTCCGGTTCTAGAGTCCTTCACATCTATGAAGGCTTCAGCGCCAACCAACTCCTTCCCAATAGTCAGTCTCTCTCTCTCTCTCTCTCTCTCTCTCTCTCTCTCTCTCTCTCCTCCTTACTCTTTCCGTGCATCTCCTTTCTTCAATTCCCCCTCCTCCACCCTGGCAACTCACCCACATTCAACATTTTCTCGGTTAGGATCCTCTGGGACGACCAATTTCATCCTGTCCCTCGTTCATCCTTGTCCTCAGCTACTCCCTGCGGCTTCTTGCTCTCAACCTGTGTCCCTCACGTCCAGGAGCCACTATACCAACCACCACAATGTAAACACTGGATTTTGGAGCCGGACCTTGTGCTAGCAAGAGACCGGTTTTCATACCAACCGAATGTCAAGTTACACTACCAGGCATCTGAACTCAAATGATCCCAGAGCCGGTGAGGGGGAAACAACTAAGGTTCCTTCGCATCTCTCTCTCTCTCTCTCTCTCTCTCTCTCTCTCTCTCTCTCTGTACTTGACCAAGGCACAGGAAAAAAAAAAGTTCCCTTCAATTTAAGACTATCTTCTCTTTCATGTCGCTTCGTTAATAATTAAAACTCAAACATTAAACCATCGCACTCCAGGTCTGGTGGTGTGTCAAGGAGAGAAAAAAGCAATCATAGAGCGTCCTTATGTCAGGGGACCGTAGAAGTCATTGTTGCTTGGAGTATATGTGAGTCTGACGAGGAGGGAGTAAGCTTGGCCTCCTAGGACATTTTGCCTGTGTGTGTGTGTCATCCCCTCTCTAACAGTGTTGTCATCTACCTTACTCCCTCTCCCCTTTAAACCATTCACCCCCTCCCTCACCCTCTCTTCCTCCTAAGCCTTCCTGCTCCTTGGTCCCTCCTACCAGAATCAATTAATGTTTTTCCCCTCTCTCTCTCCTGACCCCTTTCTCATCCTTCCTCCGCCCGGCACTTCATAATATCTCTCTTCGCCCTCTCCCCATCTACAACCATTCTACATTCTCTTCTCTCCCCCCTAGTTTCATCTTCCCCTTCATTGCTCCCCACCCTATCTATACAACACCAAGGCTCGTTATCAACACCCTTGTACTCCCTCTAGGTAGTCCGGTAACCCCACACACTCCAGCACCTGTCTACGCTGACTCACTACTGTGGCTAAATTTCACCTTTTGGCCTTAAAGAGCAATTTGACCTTTGACACACTCTTGAATTTCTTTTTTTTGTGTTTTATCGAGGAAAAGTTTGACACCCCCACACACACACATACACCCACACACCCACCTGTTAATATGTCAGGTTATAAAAAAGCGTACAAAAAAATCTGAGGCACAAAAAATCTGAGGCAGACACAGGCATCAATACTCGAGGTAGGAGAGAGTGGGTCACACAGGACTATAGGGAGGATCTGAGAGAGAGAGGAATGATACCAGGAACAAGTCGTGGGTCTCAAAGTGGTCGCCGTCCTCACTCTTCCAAGACAAAGGACATCAATGGCAACCCGATGAAACTAATTCGGGGAGGTGAAGGACACGGGTGGTGGTGGTGGTGAAGGATGTAGTGGTGGAAGTGGTGCTGGTAAAAGGACTAGTGATGATGGTAGTTGTGGTGAAGGTGGTGGTGGAAGTGGTGGTAGCGGTGGTAGCGGTGCGGTAGAAAAGGGGATGTAGTGGTGGAGGTGGTGGCAGTGGTGGGGGTGGTGGTAGTGGTGATGGAGGTGGTGGTAGTGGTGGTGGAGGTGGTGGTAGTGGTGGTGGTGGTGGAGGTGGTGGTGTGGTGGTGGAGGTGGTGGTAGTGGTGGTGGTAGGGGTAGTGGTGAAGGTGGTGTAGGAAACGGGTTGTGGTGATGTAGGAGAGGGGGAATTGCAGTGACAGTGAGTGGGTGGGTGGGTGGGTAGATTGGTGACAAAAACGACAGTTGTGGTGACAGTGAGTGGACGGTGAAGGCGAGTGACGATGGTAGGTAATAGTGGTGTTGGGTGATGCCTTTGTGATGATGGATAATTGAAGTGGTGTTTGTATACGTTAATGGTGTGGTGATGGTAGCGGGTACTGGGTGGGTAGTGGTTGTCGTTTAAATGGCTTGTTGATGTTGGTGACAGGCATTACCACACACACACACACACACACCATCACCAACACGAATATCACCATCATCATCACCACCACCACCACCAACCAATATCACTATCATCACATCACCAATATCAAGATCATCATCACCACTCATAACATCATCAATAACACCATTATCACCCCCACAAACACAAGAACTGTCCACAACAATATTCTCGGAGGAAATTTTTCTCCAAACTTTCAATTCCTATTCAAGTCAATTTCACACTGACCGATTACAAAGTTGTTTTCATCCCCTGTGTTGGTGCCAAGTGTGAAGGTTGTGTGTCAGAATGGTGATGTCAAGTGTAGGGTTGTGTGTCAAGTGTGAGGGTAGTGTGCCAGAATGGTGGTGTCAAGTGTGAGGGTTGTGTCAAGTGTGAGGGTAGTGTGTCAGAACGGTGGCGTCAAGTGTGAGGGTAGTGTGTCAGAACGGTGGCGTCAATTGTGAGGGTTGTGTGTCAAGTGTGAGGGTAGTGTGTCAGAACGGTGGCGTCAAGTGTGAGGGTAGTGTGTCAGAATGGTGGTGTCAAGTGTGAGGGTTGTGTGTCAGAACGGTGGTGTCAAGTGTGAGGGTTGTGTGTCAAAGTGGACGTGTCAATTGTGAGGGTTGTGTTTCAAGTGTGAGGTGTGTGGTGTGTCAGAATGGTGGTGTCAAGTGTGAGGGTTGTGTGTCAGAATGGTGGTGTCAAGTGTGAGGGTTGTGTGTCAGAACGGTGGTGTCAAGTGTGAGGGTTGTGTGTCAAAGTGGACGTGTCAATTGTGAGGGTTGTGTCAGAATGGTAATGTAACGTATGTTTTGTGTCAAGTGTGAGAATAGTGTGGCAATGTTGTGGTGTCAAGGATGAGATCTGTGTCAATAAGGTCATGAGCAAGAGACGTAGTGTTAGCATGGTAGTGTCAAGCCAGAGTTGTGTCATTGTGTTGCGGCCAAGCATGAGTGCCGCGTGTCAATAATCACAGCGCCAACCATCCCCCCTCCCCTCCCCCCAGCCAATAACCCCCTCCCTCCTCCACTCAGTCAATAACCCCCTCCCTCCTCCACTCAGTCAATAACACCCTCTTTTTCCCCAGTCATTAACCCCCTCCCTCCTCCTAGAGTACAACACCCACCTACATTGATCTGTTTCACCAGTAAACACCCAGTCTTCCTGTGCGTTCATGAAATGGTGGTGAGGTGGTGGTGGAGTAGTGGTGGTGTAGTAGTGGTGTAGTAGTGGTGGTGAGGTGGAAACGGTGAGCACGTCCCCACCACCACCGCCACCTCCCCCATACCACCACCACGTCGCCACTACTACCACCTCCCCCATACCACGACCCCACCACCACCACCACACCAATTTCCACACACCTCACAACACCACGTCCCACCATCCGCCTCACACCACATCACTATGGCTCTCCTCACGCCTCAAACGCACTCACACTCCATCAAGTTAAGTACTTGGGGCATACATGCTCAGTCCGGAGAGGCAAGGATCATACGCCGTATTTATCAGTAATATATCTCGTAAGGATAGATAGTCCACACATAGAGTGATGCATCTCTCTCTCTCTCTGTAATATTACCAGCCACTACACTCAGCAGTAATATAACCAGAACAAGTTAAACACAAAGACTTCCCCGCGAACTACCTTTATTAGACGGAACGTAACACCACACCAGTCAACACCATTTCACTTATACGTCATCGAGAGAACTACAATAACATAAGCCATAACATTTACATCAATTACCACATCAACCGCAGAGAAGAATCATAACAACACATAATCATCACAACTGCAGTCATAACTACCTACATCACCATCCTTATAAGCATCATCACCAACAAAAAACATACACATTACACTACCACCAAAGACAACAAAAACATCATTGGTGACAACACGGCCTAGCAACTTCGAGTATAATGAATGAACACACACACACACACACACACACACACACACACACACACACACACACACACACACACACACACACACACACACACACACACACACACACACAAAGGGCTATAAACACTGATAACTGTGATTTATATAAAGGTTACTGCGTCTATTTCTCCTATATTACCTCCGATACAACCTTATAACGGCTCCCTTCCTTTCTCCCCATCCAGTACCCATTCAACCTTGATATCTAACCTCGCCCCTTAAATTCATTCCATCCTTTCCATTACACACACACACTGCACAATACCCCATCTATTGTGTCGTCTCTAACACCCCCTAACACACTTCCCTGCCCTCTCTAACGCACTCCCTCTTCTAACACTAGCCTCCAACACCTCCCTAACTATCCTTAATAAACATTTCCCTCTCTAAGACACACACATTATCGTCTCCACCACCTACTCCGCCTCCTTGTTCTATTTTTCTCCAAACCTAAGGAGCCCTCAGGTTTTCAGCGTCGAGGGGAAGCAACAGGTGTTGTAGGCAGGAGTAAACCCTTTAAAGTATCCCCCTAAGGTGCATCCTATACAGAGCGTCCCATTACGTGTGTTCCTGGGGTGAGGCGACAATCATGCCCCGTGTCCTCTGGTGGCTCCACTGAGGGTGATAATGGGACCTCGGGAACAAATGGTCCACGGTAACACTCTACACAACAAACATCCTTACACCAGTAACCTTAGTAAATAATATAGTGTCAATTACCGTGACTAACACCTCATGGTACAGCTTCCCTCAAACCACATTACCCTTTATACATTTTTTTCCCATAAGCCAAAATTTTAGAATAAAGAATAAAATATTTTTTTCTGGAACAAAGACAAATAATTACTCATGGGACTCATTACCCCGTCAGCAGCCAAACATCAATATGACAATTCCTGGGTGACTTATAAAATATCTTGACTCATATTCAATACTTTCCCTCCCTTGCCTCATTTTTTCTTCATTTTAATTCCTCATTTGAATATCCTGGAGAGTTAGTTCGACTCTTCAGAAGACCTCATTTTTTTTTTACTTCTTGTTTTAATCCGTAACTCTTCCTCGGTGGACCAATGCTCCTCTACATCAAATTCCTCTTCTTTTCATCTCCCTCGCTATTCACAGGCACAACACCCCCTCCAATGGACCACTTTCCTTTATACTGTCCTCTTATGTATAAATATTTACTTACCCGCCCATCACTTCTTCAAAACCAGGATATCCTTTACAACACGCACCATTTCTATCCCTTTTTGCCCAACACTAAAGGATGGAGGAGGGTGTTGACACCAATCCTGGGCGGTGCCACTCCACACGACCAGATCCACATTTGGCTACTTCTCAGGCTATTACAGTAGCGAGACAAGAGCGTCCCGCCACCAGCGTTACTACATCGTATTGATCTCCTTCCTTCCGCTTATATTCAGGGATGCTACGCTGCCCTTCCGCATGTTGTTAATATCCACAACTTAAACTCCTCCCGACGTATCCAGAAAATATCTGTAACATATCTTGAATTCGTTATAATCATTTTCACAAGTGACGTTAACGTATCGTATTGATTATAAGCCTACTAAATAATTACCTCTCAACAGCCATCATCGTGTTAAAACGCAAGACTCGGCGTTGAGAGCATTTCGTTGGTGTAACTATGCACACATTGTTTAGGGATCGTTTTGAACCTCTAAAAATCATCGACAACTAAACGCGCCTTAATGTCCTTTAAACACATCTTAAAGCTTTACTCTCTCCGTGAATGGTAACGACCACGTTATATCTCCACAACTTTCAGGACTACGACAACGGTAGACATTAAAGAGACACCACAGCAGCGAGCCAGTCTGCGGACACCTGGTTATTAATTAGTGATCACCAATACCAACTCCAGCACAGTAAACTTCACTACATCATACAAAGTGAGGAATCAATAAGAAAATTGACACCTCAATACATACAGGATATATGAGAAAATATTTGAAATAAAGTGGTGAGAGTGGCGGCAGTGTCCGGATATATGAGATAGTGAAGAGTGAGAGGGAGTGTGAGGAGCAGGGAGGGAGTGAGAGAGTGTGTGAGAGAAACGTGAGGAGGAGGATAAAAGGAGCGCGAAAGGAAGACGCACCTGCGAAGATCACAGGAGTCGTCACAGAGGAGTAAAGGATTACCAGACAATACCAACAAGACCAAGAGTCTCCCACCACCACCACCATGAACCCAGCTAACATCCAGCCTACATTCATGGGCTTCTACAACAGTATGGCCACCTGCTTCAGGAAGTACACAGGTACAGTAATGTAACCACCTACACCTGCAAGGTTTGTGCCACTTCACCACAACAGCCGTTATGATGGGTATTTATAACACTCTTTTCATTCCATCCTATATTATCAATTACCTCCATTAAGTCAGTCAGTTATATTAAATATTTAAGATGCACGAGGTCAACCAAATCCAAGGGTTTGTAATATATTTTTTCAACTGGATAAACAGTAGTTAACCGTATATACAGTATCTAGGTTTTGACATTTACAACAACGACAAGAAAAGTGAAACTAATCTCTTGTCATGAATTGTTAAGATAGCCAACTTGTTCTCTTAAGTCGTTTTGTAAACTTCCCGGTGTAAACATTTGGTCCAATTAAACATCAACGCATTTATCACAGGTCCAATGATAAACAAAATATTACAAGTCGGTCACCTATAATTCTACTTCTATAATGTAAGTATCTTGAATTGTCTAGTCTGCACACAAGCTCAATTACAAGCTCAATATATCATATAATGCAGTAAATATTCTTAGTTAAAAGTGAAATGAAGTGGCATAGTTCAATCATCAGCTCAATTTTTTTCAACCAAGAATTCACATGTCTAGTAATGTACTAAAGGAAATGACACACTACAGTAGATCCATCTTCAGCTTTCTATCTGAGGTGTCAGAGGCAAGCCCACCTTGAACATGGGTCACTTTATGCTAAAATATATTCCCTTAACTGGTCCAACTGTCACATGTAGCTACCAGTTCTTGGGTCTCACACAGGTAAAGAATAACAGCGACACGCCTTATACACACATACACACAAGTAGCTGTTATCATTATTTAATATGAATCAGCACATACAGTACAGACAGAGACACAGAGGCCTCCTCCTTGAGCTCATTCTCCCACGGAGCTCCAAAGCATTCCAGCTTTGGTTGGGAATTCCTCACCACATTCTTGGACGGTTTCAGGTCGAGCCAGGCATTCTTGGAACTTACTAACACAGGAGAATATGGCCCTTGATCCGGACCGTCTGAATCTTGATCTGTGGTCTACAAACCTCCTTCATTATTGGCTAATAACGAATCTGGTTATTCTTCCCTTTACTGGTTAATAATACATCCAGACATCCTTGCATAAGATAAGTAGCCGGTGATGGACGCTTGACTTGTGACGAATCGGGAAAATCCTTACAGAGAAAATACGAAAACTGGGAATGTGTGTGTTTCTGACGAGTAGAATTAATCCAAGACCTTCTAGTGTTAATGGTCAGTGTTAAACCCAAACATTGTGTGTTACTGACCAATATGGAGCCCAAACATTCTCGTGTTAGTGACCAATAATTAACCCAAGACCTAATTGTCTTGACCAATGACTTGTGTTAGTGACCAATAATGAACCCAAGCATTCTAGTGTTACAGACCAATAAGGAACCCAAGACCTAGTTTTAATGACCAGTGACAAACTCCCATCGCCACACTCGCAACAGACCTGACAACAGTGATAGGCATAACATTTGAGCTGAACAAATAACACTCAAGACATCGTGTGCATGAGACGAACCTCCATAAACTAAATAACTATTACAATTTAAAGATGCCATCAGTGTGCAAATACTAATATACTGTATGTAAACTGGTAAACAGTCACATGATTACTCGAGAACCAGGCAAGAGTTTTTGGGGGGTAATTACACAGAACTAAGGTAATTCTGACAACGGTGTAATTCTTCAGCATGGTCTTTACTTCTCATCGATGGCCCCATGAATAACCTAATCTGACACTCTGGGTGGCGGGGTGTTGACCTTACTTACCCAGGGAGAGGAGAGCATTAACGGGGATGTGGCAGAGGAATTGTCCTTTCTTCCACTGACTGCTCTTTGACCTCACTCACACATCAGCGCCTCTTGGAGGTCACCCACACATTCTTAAACTCTACCTTATCTTTTAACACCACGATTTCCCCCCAAAAAATTTGTATATTATAATGTTTTTGTTTTGTTTTGAGTTTTTTCATACGATTAACGGATAATTTGAGCTGAATAACAAAGACAGCCAGCAGAGAAACACTTAAAGGCTCACCTGCTGTAGATATATGTAGTGTTTCCCTAACCTAGTACCAGTTTCCTCACTGGTCACCCTTCATTCCTCTCCTCCCCTGCTCTCGCCCCCTGCTACATCTATCTTCCCCGATTGTCCTTCCCTCGTTCATTTATCCTCCCCTGATTACAATTCCTCTTCTATCTATCTTCCCCGTTTATCTTTTCCAATACCTACTATCCTTCCCCTCAATTTTATCAAGGGTGACTCCTAACGCCTTTACTGCTGTATCATCCCCTTTAATACGGTGCCATCACAGCGACGATCCTCCTGCGTTACCTGCTACAGTACCATCCCTGGCGGCCCGTTGCCCCCCCTACACCCCTAATGGTCCTCTCCCTCACCCCCAACTTCTAAAGGCTTCCTTCCTCTTCCTATCTCCCTCTGAGAGCCACTCCCCCCATGCTAGCCTCTTGAAAGCTCTCTTTCTTACTGTACACTATCCCTGAAGACTTTCCCCCTCATCCCCACTCTCCTGAGGTTCTCCCCCTTTATCTTCGCTTCCATGATGGACTTCTCCTTCACAGTAACCCCCCTATAGGCTCCCTCTCATAACTTAGCTACGCTGTAAGCCCCCTCCCCACTTACCCATGGCCATGTGTTAACCCTTAAGTGCAAGAGCAACACACACACACACTCGGGTGCAGTTGGTGCACCTGTAAGCTTCTATTAAGTTTCACAGACTCATGCTGGGTGCTGGAGCCCTCAAGAGGGGAGACATTTCCCCAATGTTTACTTATAATTAGTGGAAGCTCTCCGTCACCAGGAATTAACTGCATTTTAAAGAGATTATCTCATCCACTGAGAATGAGTCTCAGGGGAGCCCATATTGGATATATTCTCCCGGCACCTTGCACACAACACCCGACACGACTTCTCACTTTACCCAAGAAAACGTTCATGTTGTCACCTCCATATAATACCACGTGTTGTCTCCCGTGTTTGAGTCATAAGAGTATCAGATAACCAAAGGAGTCTGAGATGCCTACCACATCAACTATCAACAAAGCAAGTGTGCGAGCATAAGGCTGTGTTGGAGGAGGGCCCCCCAGTCCATGGAGGGCCGAGTGGTTGAGCTGTATGGTAGTTGTTAGAGCGTTATAATCAGAGGAACTATATTATCAGACACACTCTTGCAACACACCGTCTGTCACAAGTATCTCTATTTCATTATTATCACCTCCATGTCTCTCACTTTTATTTATATCCTGTCTTCTTGCCCCCATCTGGCTCCATGTGGCCAGCTATATCATGGGTTACGGACGGAGCATCATTCATAATCCCTTCTTTGCTTACTCTGGGAGGATTATCCCAGCTAGAGCGTATTATGTCATCAATACATCATCAACAGAGGAAAGTTACTCACCACCGAGGCATACATTCTTCTTAGTTTACCTTATGAACATCCGCATCCAAGGGAAAAAAAAACACATTCTTATACGATGAAATATTGTGAACCTAAAATGCATCATAATTCATTAATAAACTAAAATTACCCCAAATCAATGAACTAATACAACGTAAACAGAGTCAATTACAAGTGTCCACGGGGTTATTTTCACACACTTCTCTGTATCACTATTATAAAGGCGTGTTCTCAGCTACAGTAAGGATAAATAAAGAAATGGTGTGTGTGTGTGTGTGTTAATGATGCCAGAGTGTGGAGGTTGGCAGGTCACGTGAACCACCTCCACTTCCTGCCTAAATGGCTTCATCAGCGCTGACCTACACTAACGAAGGGTACTTGGACCTCATGTATCTTCTAGTCCAAACCTACAATAACTGCCCGAGTGTGTTCTGTCCCTTTAACTAAGACAACTCTGTTAATATTCGTCGGTGATTAAGTATTGCCGTAATAAGCGTAATTAATGTCAACTATTGAATAACACTGACCGCGTATAGGTCTCCAGGACTAACGGTTTAGATCAGTAGAAGTTCCCGACAGTGATGCAGGCAGTGTGACCGTGCATGTGTGTGTGTGTCACCCCTCATCCATGGGTAACACACTTCCTTTCTCGTAAACACTGCCCACTCTACCTCTGTTCCTTCCCTCCCTTCCTCATACCCCTCCCTCCCTCTCCCCATCCCTCCCTCCCCCACGAGCCTTGCTGGCGTGTAACAAGAGACGTGTTTTGCATTTTAATAACTTGTTTTAAAGCCAAAATGAAGGCCATACATATAGTTTTATTGGAGAGTTTGTTGGACAATAGGTGCTTGAGTGAGGTGGTGAGACGAAACTCCCTCACCTACTCCCTCGCCCACGCTCGCTGACACTTGACCTCTGACCTACAGCCTTGGCCAGGGAAGAGAGGAACACGGTCAAGTCAACTTAACCCTTACTGGACACTGAGGAGGTGGTAATGGCGGTGGGATGTAAGCATGGGATTGTGGAGGTGACGGTATGGGAAGGAGATAGGAGGGGAAGATATGGGAGGGGAGGATATGGAAGGGGGCAGTCAGGGAAGGTGATGGGAAGGGTGATGTGAGGGAAGGAAGGGCAGGCACACTACACTCCATCTTGAACTTGCACACACACACTGAAACAACACGACCCACACTGACATCCTCACCACCACCACCTCCACCATCTGTATCACCTCAATCATTATCATCACCATAATTATCACCATCACTATCATTTGCATCATCACCTCAATCATTATCACCACCACTATTACCACTATCATCATCACAACAACTATCACCACCATCATCACAACACACAACATTAATACAGGGGGGGGACAAACATATCACACCAACATTAAACACAGAAGAAGGACGATTCAACAAGACACGTGATCATAAAAGCAAGATTGAAGATATAAAAGACCACACATTACAGTACTAAAAATAAAGTATTTCAATAATAATGACGGCTTTAGGGAGGACTTTCAGGGGGACGCTCGTTTTACACCTGATGAGTA